AAAAAAAAAAAAAAAAACAACTATGAGAGCAGGAAAAAAGACCTCTTATGCCCACTACATTTTCTTACAACAAATTTGAAAACAAACAATTTAAATAATAAAAAAGTACCCAACTACACTAACATTTCTGAAATAATCTTAAAAATAGAAAGGAAATGCATAGAACTTAGTGCAGAACAAAATAAAAAAAGGATAAGCTAAAGTAATAACTAGTCCTTTGAGAAGGCTAATAAAATATCTAAAAATATTTTCATGTGAGAGGCTAAACATTTTTCAAAGGCAGATTTAAGTTGAGAGGTGAAACAACAAAATGTAATCTGGTAATTCTAATAATGACTAATTGTACTAATTCAGGCTAATCTAGGTCAGCTTTTCACAAATAGAAAAAATTACTATTAATCTTTTAGTCTTGTTTTGAGGTATAAATACATAAAAGCAAATATTAAAGTGCATGCTTTTAATTTTCTTAGCTTTAAAGGGGAATGTACCTTCATTTCTTTTCTCAAATTGGTACTTGCTACCTTCAGGAGTGTTCTTGGTATCTTTTCTTCTGCTATTCCTCATATCCTCATCTGTTTATTACTTTTTAATTTAATTTTAGCCACTGTTTTTTTTTTTTTTTAGCCCTTCTTACCAGAAGCAAAAAGCAACAGGGACAGGACTAAAACACTCCTATTGTTTTCTCTGTTCAAAATTATATACCAGATATCCAAGAATCCAGCCTTTCCAGTTCTTGTCAGACAGCTCTTAAGGTCTGCAGGGGCAAAACTGAGCTACTCATGGTTTCTGCCATGCACCATGGCCAGGCCTCAATGTCTTTCCCTCGCGGGATTATCATCTCAGTATCCCCCTTTCCTGATCTCACTTCATCCAAATTCTACCCATTTGCTCATGATTCAGGCAAATGCTATACCTTTCAAGCATACAGTTCAGATCCCTTCCAGGTAGAAGCAATCTTTTCTTTTCCTGAACTCAGAAAATACTTAATTCTTGTTTTTCTTATGGTATTTAGCACCAGGTTCTCCTGTGTCAAGGGCTGAATTTCAACAGATCGCAGTGAGGGAGCTGCCCTGCTATGTATGAAACCCTAACCCAGAAGCAGGTTGTCTAAGAATTGATTTTCTTACGGTATTTAATACTTTTATAAATGGTTCTAAACCCAGGCTACACATTAAAGCATTCCAGATGATTTTTAAAAAAAGCCCAGCTGTACCTAAGACTAATTAAACCAGAATCTCTGGGTGTAGAACCCTGTATTTTTCAAAAGCTCACCAGGTCATTTAAATGGACAGCTCAGAGGTGGGAGCCACTGCTTTATATGTGTCTTACTAATATTACTAGTTCTCTTCATTATCTCTGAATTGAGTCAAATACATGTATAATTAAATTTTTAGGTCCAGAATTTTTAAAAATTACATTTTAGTATTCTGTGTTAAGACATTAAATGTGAAGTGATAGTTTACCCAAGAATCAAATATTCCTATTCCCTAGCTAGTATTTTCAGTTTAGGTTAATATGGGATGTCTGGTTATAACCACAAAGATTATACAAAATCTGTAGATGCTCCTATTCAGAGACAGAACATTTGAAAAAAGACAGTTTTTTTTTGTTTGTTTTAGCTATAAACAGTGCACACAGCTTACCTCTCTAACATCTACCATCCACCCTCCATCAACAAACAACAAAACGTTATACATTTTCTCCTTCACATCAGCAGTTAGGGCATCTAGATGCCCTTTCCAAATACCATAATCCATCTGCAAAACAAACATAAGGCAGTCATATAACGGACAAAACCCAATAAATAATGTATGTGTAAAGTATAGACAGGAATATACACATGGAACATCATTTTAAAGAGCTGATGTTTCAGTTTGTCAAATATAAAAATAAATATCAACAGACTGTAGTTAAATAAAACACTAAAATGTTAACTTTGTAAATGAATGCTAATGTCACCTGAAGGTATTTTTCATGTCTCGTTAACTACCTACAGAACAGTGACTAAACAAATTGCTTTTTTCAAAGTAGAACATTAACAGGAAGGTCACCTGTTATAATAGAAATATAGCTACTAAAGAAATGACCTCTTTAAATATATAACATACGTTTTTAAGATGAAATAGGCACATCCCAGATCCATATGCAACTTACTTCATACTTCTTTTCTTTGTGTTCATTAGCCACTTTCTCAGTAAAAGTTGGCTGAAGCATCAAAGTAGGTTTTTGTGGAGCTGAATTCATATGCTTGAACCACTCATTAAAGGTTTCATGGGCTTCCTAAAATGTAAATTAAAAAAATACAAAATAAAAGTTTTCACTTTTATTGTTCAACAAAGCTTTTTTTTTTTTGAGACAGAGTTTCACTCTTTTGCCCGGGCTAGAGTGAGTGCCATGGCGTCAGCCTAGCTCACAGCAACCTCAAACTCCTGGGCTCAAGCGATCCTCCTGCCTCAGCCTCCCAAGT